AATGCTCACCTCATGAAAATGGTTTTACATAAGAGATGGTTACAGGTTAATCCTACAGCATCATGGAGAGATGTCATTAATGCTTTGAAACAATGTAAAGAGAATGAACTAGCTAGAACTATTGAAGACAAAGTGACAGATCGTCCTACAGCTGGAAGAAGTACTAATGATGATATGGAAGCCAGTACCAGTAATGTTAGACCTGGTCCAATAACAGGTAAACATACACTTAATACAACACTCATTAACTGATACACTACTGCAGGTAATCCAAAGGATATATTAAGGACTCATTCTGTTAAACTCACTGATGCTATTACTACTAGCCTTTACAGAGTAACTGATGCACTGTATGCTGAAGGACTGATACCACTGGATACTAAAGATAATATACAAACAGTAACAGGAATATCTGATTATAGGAAATCAAGTCAATTAGTGTCTGTGATACAACGACAGTTAGAATCCTCTCTTAATCCAGAGCAGTATCTTATTGATATATGTCATGTATTAATAAACCAACAACATCGTACACTAACAGATATTGCTACCTCTATATTACACCAGTTAGGTGAGTGTGTGTGTGTGTGTACATTATCAGTGATCAATATAGTCATTATATTATTTCAATACATTAGGTCAGTCTATACCTGATAATGTCACATCCATTAGTTTAATACCTGATGATGTTCAAGGATATGCTGACAATATGAGACAACTCTACAAGCACCAACCTATCGTTGCTACAGATTGGCCACCAAGAATTGGAAAAGATTTTTTTGGAAGACTAGCACTAGTAGAAAAACAAGACTACAGCACACAAGCAGAAACAGCTTGGCATATGCTAAGAGGACAAGTTGATAAGATAGTTGAACTAACTGAAAACAAAGAGATAAGTGTTGAAGATGTCCTCCAACCCACAGATAGTTCTCTGTCTCTCAGAGTAGTAATAGATGGTCCTCCTGGTATTGGCAAGACCACACTCTGTCGTAAACTGTTAAATATGTGGTCTAATGGAACACTTGTACACCAACAGTATGACTTGGTACTTTACTGTCCTTTAAGGAATAGCAAGATAGCTACAGCTACTACACTAGCTGACCTGTTTGTGCGTCAACTTAAAAGATATAAAAATGTACCTGAATGGTTTGAGGAGAGGGACGGAGAAGGATTACTGATAATTTTTGATGGTTGGGATGAACTAAGTGAACAACTCAGACAGTCTTCATTAGCTGCTAGCATCATTTTTAAAAATGAGTTAGACCAATGTTCAGTAATTGTTACCTCTCGTAGCTATGCCTCCTCTTCACTTTTGAAAATGGATACTCTCAGTAGACATGTTCAGGTCATTGGGTTTTCTGAGAAAGAAATATCAACAGTAATCATACAAACACTTCAAAAAGATACAAAACTGGCACAAAAAATTATTCAATACTTGCATAGTAAAAGCAATCCTGATAGTGAAAATGATGATGAAAGTGATGAAATAAGTGACGATGAAGTTGAAAGTGATGATGAAGTTGAAGGTGATGGCGAAG